TAATTGATCACCTCAAATATCTCAAACAGTATGTTTTAGGGAAAAATGTTTCACACAAAAGTTTTATGACTTCAAGGAGAACCAAGGTACCAGGTTGATGCGACTTTGGGTGGTATTGTCGAGATCAGAATGTCACTTTGAATTTTTTTAATGAAACCTTCCATTTTTTATTACATATTCTCATAGAATATTCTTATAGCTTACCTCGAGAGCTTTTCAAAACATAGAATTCTTTTTCATTAAGTACTTTTCAAATTACAAGGTTTGTGAAAATTACAATACCACCAGCATTAGCATTATCCAAAATATTCGATCGACAGCTAAAACCTCTTTGGATATTGTACAGTTTCATACTTCATAACACTTGTCAAGATCAAAGCTTGTAGGTTCTTCCTTTCATATTCATTTTGACGAATAAGAAGTCTGTAATCAAAAGTATTAATAATATATTAATAAGAATATACATTATAGTTATGGAGACATGCGCTTACAACCGATCCGCTTCGGTGAAACGCATACTCTCTCCGTTTTTCACCAACTTTTGGTTGGCAATAGTCGATCGTAAAAAATAAAAATAAGAAGACCTTCAATGATCTTGATACTTAATAAAAAATTTTATTATAGTGTTTGGAAAAGCTCTAGAGGTAAACTACGAGAATATGTAATAAAAAAAAAAATGGGAGGATCTATTTATAAAATTTAAAATGACTTTGTCCTGATCTTGATAGTGTCAAGGTCAAACCAATGGTACTTTCTTATGTGCCTCTTAATAATCTCGTCATAAAACTTTTGTTAGAAACATTTTTTCCTAAAATGTATTCTTAAGAGATATTTAAAGTGATCAGTTAAAATGGGACACCCTATATACACACGTACATATACACATATCCTTTGTACACTTTCTTTGTGTGTACAAAATCTCATTTACGATACAAATACATTATTTTATATACAAAGTTTATAACTTTATCTCAATCCATTAAAAAGTTAATATTATTTTTTTTTAATTATTTTTATATTCTTATAATAATTCTATAATCTGAAATTTAATAACTAAATAGTTATGAACAATTTAGTCATTAAAATAAGAAATTTTTTTTACACACCACAGTGCTGGAAACATAAAATAATGAGGTATACCAAATACTTGAATGCTGCACTTCATTTTTAATGCTCACGTTAACTGTTGATCGTTCTATGATAGCGTGAAGAACCTATAATAAAAATTATGAGGTAAATAATAGTTACATATTTCACGTACAATATGAGAATATAATGTATGATATAAAGTGCATAATTTAATTTATTATTAGGAAAGTCTGAATAAATAGCTTTATCTAATTTCCTTTATTACTTTTTGTTAAATATAGTATATTGTAAACAAATATATTTATTCACTAATATTCTTGAGGCTTCTATGGGTACTTTCTATATAAAGATTATGCGTTTCGTGGGTTTCCTTCGTGTCCAGATCCATTCTTGGAATGCCAATGTTTCGTGAATCTTGCACAATCCACTTCATCAGGGCGAGGAGAAACCTGATACTTAGTATCTGATTTACAGTATCAGGCTGCTCTTCGCCCTAATGAAGTGGACTGCAAGGTTCACGAAACGTTGGCATTCCAAGAATGGATCTGGACACGAAGGAAACCCGCGAAACGCATAATCTTTATATATTTATACACTATATACTGTATATATAATTATCATAATTACGAATGTTTTTAAAATTTATGGATACTATTACTACATACTATACGTATAATTATCTCTATTATATTTTGTACAAATATAATTGATAATGCTTTGAACAACAAAAAATAGAGTATAACATAAATATAAATTTGGATTTCGTTAATGATGTTAAATCATTGTTTTTTGTAAATCAAAGTTTGAAAAGAAGTAAAAAAGAAACTCGTAAAAAAGCAAATATATAATAAATTCTAATTTTATTTATCTGATAACATGCTCTAAAATGAATTTAATCATATGTACTTTGTGCGTGTTAAGGCGCTCCCACCCTTCGTAGGGTCCATCATTCGATCCCAATTAGTATGTCCAACAACGAATCCAACAGCACGCATTTTTTCCTGCTCTTTACGCTCTTCTAGATCCGCCCAACGTACCTGCAAAAAAGCAAATGTAAAATCTTTTACTTGATTTTGTATTTATTAAAAAATTTGATGTTTCTATTTTTCACTATAGTCATTGAACTGTACATAAAAAATAACATAAAAAATTATTTATATAAATTTTACAAATAACAAAATCGTATGAATCTTTAATTAATTTTAAATACATAAAATTGTAATTTATACTTTATTGCAAATAATATATTTAAAAAATTGGAAAAATACAATAAATTTTCTTAATATCTTCGCCAAAATAAGTCGCCAAGTCTTTTCAAATTAATTAAAAAAGTTATGTGAGTCAAGAGATATTATAATTTAATATTACGCAGATACATACTCGTTTTTTACCAGAAGTATCTTCCATATTGTAATAATCGGGAACTTGTAAGAAATCTTCCATAGTTTGCGGTTTTGTTTCGTTTTTCTTCTTTGCCAAACCGTCCAGTCGATCTACATTATTGCGTTATAAAAAAAATTAAAATAAATAATAATTAGCTCGCTTAAAGAAACTTATAATAAATTAAAATTAATGTGAGTTAACAAAGATAAATGTGATAACACAATTGTATTCTAATGCTTTCCAATTAAATATTGTTTATATCTTTAATATTTTTTAATTAAAACTAATTCACGCTTTTATTCAGACTCTCTTCAGTCAACAGACTCACATAAATTCACTTTTAATTATGTATGGACATTAGCATTTATAGACTTTAATAGTATTCGCCTTAATTTGATTCTTACAGATTCACACTAAATATAAAAAAATATACACTGAGAATATGAATATGTATAATCTATTAGTATAAATTTATATAAATTAGCTAACCCAGTTTATCTTCAGCTTCCATTCTCTCCCACTTACTAACACCCTAAAAATACAAAAACACACATAAAAAATACAATAAAATCATAGAATGACGTATAAAAGACAAGCATTTCTGACAAGACTCCTGACTAGTCAGTATGCGATTCAAAATTAGTCAGCGGCTTAGCGAAATGTAACGAAATTAGTAGCCCCACACACACAAGCATGAGTCCATGTATATATGTGCCCTCGGCGCATCGAAAACGAGCACATGTAAAACCTTTTTGTATGTTACAACGTCTCGCCACGATAAATGGCTGAACTTATAGGCATAGAAAAGTGACGTTTTGATGACGAAATTTATGCTGCAAGTCATTTCGTTATTATTTGCTTAATTGTGAAAATGTAACGTGTCTCGTACTTGAAAGTCCTAAAAATGGGCAGAAGCTATAGTTATCCCGGAATTTTATACATAAAAGCATATATTTCATTCATTTCAACAGCTGTTCAAACCGTGTGTTTCTGCCCGAAATTAGGATCACTTTATCTGTCTTTTACAATCATTTATTGACTATTAAGAGAAAGGAATGATTTCTGCCCATTTTTACAGATATTTTAAAGCAATCTCGTTATTTAGATTTATCCAAATTTTCTTTATTTATAAATGGCTTGCAGCATAAATTAATGTGTCATTTTTCGCTTCTGACGTCACGATTCCAACATAGCTGTCGCGACTAGTCAGGAGCCTCAAGTTCATTTACTTACAATTACATCCTGAGTATCTTCCTGGCTATCTTGACTATCTTCAGTTTGAGTAGCAGATTTTTCTTGCGTCTCTTGACTATCTTCCATGTCCACCTTTAAAATAAATGTTTGTGATTACAAATATAATTTCCCATATATGTATATACTATGTTAAAAGAATAGCACTCCGTGCAGTATCGTGTATCAATTCATGTATTATTTATTATAAAATTCAAATTATAAATTGTAAACTTACAAAAATATTTAGATACTAATAATGGACTTTTATCTCTTTATCTATATATAAATATTAGCTCTTTTTAAGAAAAACAAAGAGTAATAGAAAATTACCTCTTCTATTGCTTGCTCTTGCAACATCGAATTTACATCTAGCTTCTGATGATAACTGGGTGTTGGTTCAAAGTAATCTATAATCCGATTAATTTCATCCTCGGTACGGTTGTGAATGTTTCTCTTCAAACATATCTGTAGATCCATCTCCATCTCGCATACGTACACCTTGGTAAATATAATATCATGTTAGTAAAAACAAGTTAGTACCGAATTTAATAATAATAATGTAATATATATTGTAGGTAATAAAAGTCTAAAATTAAATGTTAATAGATGTATGTTTTAAAAAGTTAATATTTTTATATCAATTCTTCCTAGAATTATATGCTCATGAATATTAAAAGTTTTTATTGATACATGCAACTTCAAAATATTTATTCATAGAAAAATAAAATTAATGTGATGATTAAATTTATTTTAAAACAAAAAAAATTTACAACAAGGATATCAATATCCAATAGTCTTAGAAAAAAACCATATATTAGGTTGAGTAAAAAGTCATCGCGTATTTTTTAGCTCAAAGTTGTATATGTATACAATATCTTCGTCAATAATGAATGAAATTCAAATTTAAAAAAAGGGTTTTAAAGCTTGAAATCTCTACTTTTAAAAGCTTATCACATTTTTTAAGTTTATATGAGTTTGATAATTTTTACATACCAAAAACTACGAGCTGAAAGAGACGAAAAATTTTCTTCTCACTTTGTGGATTTGTAACGTGTCCAAAACGAATTTGAGAAAATTTTCGATTACCTATCGTGAAAGCTTGATACTTTCCCTACAAAATCTTTTTTTTTAAATATTCCTACGACTTTTGATTACTGAGTTATCGCGGATTAAATAAAAGAATTATTTTGACTTTAATTGCTCATAACTCCATTAAAAATTGTCGTATCGTATAATTTAAAAAAGAGATTTTTAAAGCTGAAACTTTACTCTATTAAGATATATTTATATTGTTGGTAAGAAAGTAATTGCGGTTTTTACTGATAGATGTCTTTTAAAAAAACGCGATGACTTTTTACTTAACCTAATATAATGTAATTAAATTAAATATATAAATCAATAACTTACTTTAAAACCTTTTGTCTTGCCGAAACTCCACATCTCTTCGTAATCCGAAATTTTCTCGTTAATGCAGTCTAATATGATAAAATTGAAGAATCCATCTGTTATATTTTTCTTAAAAGCTTTAACAAGAGAAGTTATATAACTCTGTTCCATAGCCTCTTCGTATTCATATACCATTTCCTATGAAAAATTAAAAATTAGAATTAAAATGAAAGTATTCACACACAATTGTTTTTTTTACATTATATTCGTAATGGGTTCGAATCTATAAAATTATGAAGTATTTTACATAAATCAATTTTACTTTTCAATATATAATAAACTATAAAGATATATTGTTATTTAATAATAAATATCTACTCCCTTAAATATTAAATATTATTGATATTATACAAACTTGATGTAATACAGTTACTATCACAATATTTCTAAATAAAAGTGAATGTCAATCAAAATTCGATTTATATTACAAATATAATTATTGTACCTTAACTATGATTTTCTTTCCATTATCATCCTTAGTCTCTATTTCCTTTTCGACAAGAAAATAATCATCTAAACTTAATATTCTCGGCGCAGAACCACCCTGCTCGACTTCTTTATCCTGCACAGTAAGAAAGTATCATAATTAAATATGTCTGTATAGCTTTACGCATATGTAGAATGTATGTAATGCAATTGGACTAAGTATTCGAAGCATATGACATGTATTTATTCAGAATATATTAACTTATGTTTTACATATACAAAATAATCATTTATGTAATAATATATACTTAAGCATTTATTATAAATATACCTTAATAAGTTTAGCCACAAAAGACTTGCCGCTACCGGGTGGTCCTCTGAGGATGATAGCTATTTTTGGTGGTCTGTTCTGGCGACCTGGTGGACACAATAGATCATCGACCATCGTAAAATTCGGTATTTTTGCCAATTCCAGGGTTTTCGTAGTGGATTCCGCAACATTTTTCTTTGTATCTGGAGAAAGGCTATAAAAGATTGATCTCTTAGTAAAATAAAAACATATACTTATAAATAATTACATTATAGCAGATTGATCGAAAAAAATCACTCGTTTTTTGTTTTGTGCTAATAAACAAAAGAACGAACTTTTTGATCAATCTTGTAAAATAAAAGAATAGTAATCTTTATAATAATCAGCATAGAATAAGTACAATGAGAAATAGAAATAAATAAATTTTGTGTTGTAGAAATTTTTCTTAGAAAGTTTTTCTAATTATGCAATAGCATACGCACGTAAATAACAATTTGAAAAAAATATTTCGCAACAATCGCACTCTTCATTAAATATTCATACATAATAGTATAATTCGCTTTAAAAAATATCAAACAAAGTATCAAACAATAAAAAATTATTCCATATAAACAGATCGATACCATACGTAAAACGGTATATTGTACATTATATTGCATTTAAGCAATAAAAATTCAGTACAAATATCATTTATTGAAAAAATTCGGTTTATCAGATATAAAATATAAGAATCTTATTACGAGCAGACAGATTGATATTGTAGATAAAATTACGAATATCTTACAGTAAATAAGTAAAATAAAAGATATATTCGTTATATGTACATGCAATATAAATTGGTATATTATAAACTTCTTGATGAAAGCAATGATAAAAACTGCTATATAAGTATCACATATATATTGTAGTAAAACTCTGTGTGTGTGCATTATAGGATTAAATATTCATTACTAAATAGTAAATGTCATAAGTGGAAAATGGCACATGAGTATTCTCTCTTTATTTTCAGAGAGTAAACAATTTTCACATAACAGATCAATACTGTAAAAAAATCAGTTTGTTGGAAATACAAATATAAGAAATTTATTATAATCAATATTAAAATTATGACTAGATATATAACTGTCTTAGAATTACAGTTATATAAAATTTTTATGGTTTATAACATTTTTTTTTAATTTATGTGAAGAATAAAATGGTATGTTACGTGTAATTATTAAAAGCAACAATAAAAATTTGGCATAAATACATGTTTAAAGTAAATTCATTTTTACAAAAGTATTTTTCATACATAGTCTTGTCTGCCAAACGGAGACGACTTTTACATATGCAAAACAGTAATCATTGCATAAACTTTTTTATATATGGTATCCATTTAAAAAACGTATACTAAAATTATAAAAAATAATTAACATATAAACTTATATAGTAAATTTTGTTGATTATATGCATAGTATTTAGCTATGCATAATTAATGTATTAATCGGACTGACTGCAGCACAGATATATTAAATTTGTTATATCTGTTATGTCAGTGTTATAAGTATAAATATAAAAATTTTGTTGACCCTCGGATATTCGAAAAATTATAATAATTATTATTCGATTATTTAAATCCGAATATATGCAGATATCCGTCTCAATAAATCATAAAATAGTACAGAACATAAAATAGCTTATAAACTCTTGGCATTATCAAAATTATAGAAATTTTTTTTTTCGAACTTCAATAAATGTATCATAAATCGTGTTGCAGCAAATGCACAATTGCACATGCGCAATATTTATATTGTAAAATATAATTAACAGAACCATTAAGTTTTGCCATTGTCGAGATATAATCAAAAAGATTTGCTAAAACATTATAACACATCTCGATAGATTTTTGTGTTATTTAAAATAATTTTATTATAAATGTACGAGCAAATAAAAATATCCTTAAATAGAGAAATAAAAGTACCAAATGTAAAAAATTTTTGGGACGAATTTGGGATTTATGGAGAATAATTTTTGTTCTATAGAAATAATTTCTATGATAGAGAATTAAATTTCACGATAAAACTAATTTTTGTTATGTTGTATAATAACATACCATCTAACAAATATACTTTGTCCTATATAAAATTTATTAGTTCTCTTAGAATAATATTCATAAACTTTTCTTATAACATTTGAACACTTTCTTTCAATATGTTGATTTTAAATTATTCCTACCGTTGTTTCTTATAGTAAAAGGTGTAAATTCCTTATAACAAATTTAATTGGATGTACTCAGTGCACATTAAAACAGTTGTATTCAAATCGACATAAAAATTTATATATACTTAATATAAATATAAAAATAAATTAAACCATAAAATTCCCATTTTATTGCGCTGTTAAGTAAAATTTGTATTTTATAATTTAAAATATTTGTATTTTACTTTTACACAGATTAAATAAATATACAATGGCTTTATTATGCACTAGTGTGCATCCTATCGAATTCGTTATTAATATTTTGTATTTCTCTAATGCATCTTCGTACATATTTTTTTTGCTGAGATCCGGATCTAATCTAATAGTTTTCCACTGAGAAAACTAATGTAAGATCGGTACAATTGAATGCAAATCGATTTTAAACATATTTTCCAATGTTAATAAATAAATTAATTCTTTTAAGATTATAAAGTTATCGTGGCAACAAAGGCCATGTTCGTATATTATTGCCAGCCAGTACTGAAAATATATCGTTCCTCTTACGTACTGATAACTGGCAGTAATATACGAACACGGCCAAAGAACATGTAAAGTTAAAAAAATTAAATTATTTATTAACAGAAAAAATATATAAATTTATTTGTATTTAATTGCATTTAATGTAGTACTGCACTAATTTTTCCAGTGGTAAATATTATAAGTATATCCTATAATAATATTTATGCATCATACTAAAAAAATATGTATACTAATTGTGTACACTAGCACGTTACAGAAGTTTAAACTATATTTTTACTAATTAATTTAATTTAATTTGATACATTTTACATCTGTTATATTTATTTCTTTATTCTTTTTAATTTAATCTTTTATATATCGCTCATTGCTATAACAATCACACAATTAAAATAAGTTTGAATGTTTTGAATTATTTTAAAATTTTGTAATATCAAGTTAAAAATGCAATTTTCCTGTAATAACTGATTTCGCTGTTTGGTAAAAAATGATTTTTTTGCGAACAAAGAAACGAGACTAATTATTTTCTTTATAGTTTTTAGATACTAATACAAATCTGTTTTTTAATTGCCATTACGTCATAATTTTGGAAAATTTGTAATTGGAATTGCTAAAAAGAACTATTTTTACGTATTGCGTCATATTATAAATAACTACGATATGTGACATACTGGAACAGTTGGAATCAAAATTAATTTTGTTGTTAGGACTTTTAACCTTCAAAGGGAGTTTTTCAGTATCAACTATGTTTAATAAAATATTTATAATTAAATATGAAATCTATAATGAAAAAGGAAAGAAGAAAAAAAAGAAGTGAATTGTGAATTATAAGTCGCTAATGATTTATCAAATAGCTTTCAAGTGTATTTATTTAAACTTTAAGATCATTGAATATAAATTTGTGTAAAAATTAATAAATTTAAAATAATCGATTTAATATGGCGGATATTCTAAAATATGAAAAATATCCAGATTAGATCTGTTCGCATTGCTTACACTTTTTGCACTCAGCATCTTTGTTTACTCTCTCTTCAACGCCCAAATATATATTTATCTCATTTTAAGGCTCCTGAGTAGTTATCACAGCCACCATATCGAATCGTGATATCAAAAGCGAGAAACGATATGTTAATTTTTGTTCCATTTGTAAATAAAAACAATTACTGACTGTCAGGGAAATAAGCATAGTCGTTAAGCATTTCGTCTATTTTTACAAATGTCTTAAGTCAATCTCATCATTTTATCTAAATTGTCTTTATTTATAAATGTAATAAAAATTAACGTATCATTTCTCGCTCCTGACGTCATGATTCAATATAGCTGTGGTGACTACTCGAAAACCTTAAATGCACAAGTTTTGAGGATTCAAACAACGTGAACAAACTCATGGATGCAGAAATTTATGTATACGAGTAGAAATCTTTCACGATTTTGAATTAATTTTCTTATCTTAAGAATTTTAATTTTGATATAAAATTCGACAGCCTAAAAAGTTCTTAAGTTTAAATAAAATATATTAAATATAATTAAAAACTATTTGGTAAATCGTTAATGATCTAATTCAGCCTATTTTAGCCTGAAATAAATCACATATTAATTATTTAATTATGAATATTTTATTATTTAATTGTAATCGATATTAAAAAAAAATCTTTTAAGAGCTGAAAGTCCTAAGATTTACTTAATTTTTATTGCAATAAAGTTTCTTCAACATGTCATTTATTGTAATTATAATACTTATAATATAACAAAATACATGAAAATCATAATTTTTATATAGTTCTAAGGCTCCTGATCATCACAGTCATATTGAATCACGTGACGTCACAAGCAAGAAATGAGACGTTAATTTTTATTACATGCTATTTATAAATAAAAAAAATTTGAATGAAATAAAATAATGAAATCGTTTTTTGCCGAAATCAGTTATTACAGCAAAACAATTGTAAAAATGGATAAAAACTATCCTTATCCCCCCTGATAGTCAGTAAATAATCGTAAAAAATAAAAAAAATGAAGGTTTTTATTCAATGCACATGCATAATCTATTTTTATTTACACGTGCCTTTTATCACTTTTTACAATTATTTACTGACTCGAGGAAGATAAACATAGTTTTCGTCCATTTTTACAAATGTTTTAAAGTAATTTCGTCTTTTTGTTTTATTCAAATTGTCTTTATTTACTAATAGCACGTAATAAAAATTAACATACCATTTCTCGCTTCAGATGTTACGATCCAATATGGTCGCGACGACTACTCAAAAGCGTTAACTGCAAATTTTTCAAAATTGTTACGTGATGAAATAATTTGAAATTGAAAATTCGATTCACATTTAGTAAAAAAAAAAAACTGGAAAATGATTAATCTCATTCTAATGTTTCTTTTTTTGTTAAACAGTGTTATAAAAGAAAGTGAATAAAAGTTAATTTTTTTCTGTTCCTTTTTTGCAACTAAAAAAAAAACAATTTTTAAATAATTTTTAAATTTATGTCATTGTAACAAATGAGCGATATATCAAATATAAACAAGATATTTTGTCACACAATTGTAAACCATGATGCATGATTATGTACAGATAAACGTAGTCGAACTTATAGGACATTAATTCAGAATTAAATAATTATTGCTAAAATAATTCAACAAAAAGTTATATTCAAAATATCACTTTCTATAAATAATACTGCTAAAAATTTTATTGTATTTTAAAATTTTTCATGATATCAGACCTGTTTACTCCTGGATTATTTCTTGATTAGTAATCTAAATTCATATATAAATGTAGATATGTAATGTAAATATTTTTAAGAAATTAAATTTTCTATTTAAAATCCTTCAAATCAATGTTCTTTTTTCTATGAGTACTTGATGATTAAATGTAGACTAAAGCTTCTGCAAACAAAAAGTAATGTTAACATACCTGATCTCTTGAAGTTTTGTATCTACGATGTTTTTGTTTGCACTCTCCTGCCAGTTAACATTTCCTTTCAATCTAAAGAAAATGGTATATATGTTCAAAACATATATCTCATACTTTTATGTAATATTATCAACTATTTCTATTATATAAAAAATTAAATATTTTTATTATTCATACAATATACCTATCATCATCTTTGTCATTATCTTTAGTCATCTCCTTTCGGGGATTATCATGTATCTCTTGAACCCGCTCTGTATCTGAAAAATGATGGATGCAATGAAACATACTCTATGTAAGTTGTTTGTTCTTTAATATTTCAATGTAATTCATAATTTACAGACATATTACGTGTAAAACTAAATCAGCATTCCAAACTTTACAAACTACAGTATTCTATATCTCGTTTTTATAATTATAAATGATAAATAATATTCTTTTATTACAATTAATAAAATAAGCTAATAAACTTCAACCAAACGCTTTATTTTTAAAAACACTTCATACTGCATTAAAGATTTGATAATTTTTGGTCCATTTTCAATAATAGTTTTGTATTTTTAAGATATAAAGTTAGATTTAAAAAATGTTAGTGTAATTCGTCATTTCTAGTTCTTTCTTGCTCAGATGTTTTTATATGTTTTCAATTTAATGAAGAATTAAAGCTGCATATAACTATTCGTTACAAAAAGATAGTAATTTCAAAACAAACATATATAGGATGTTCAATAGATCATAACAAAAACAGGGTGTTCAAAAACTATAACAATGCTTAAGGGTAGATTTCTGGGATTTCTCTCATTTTGAGATGAAAATTCTAACATAAAAAAATGTCGAGACTTTAATAATTTTTTAATTGTAAGCACTTTTTTATCAAATCATAATCTAACCTAAATTTAAACATAAAACATAATCTAAATTTTTTAATAAATTGAAAATAATCATTTTGAGAAAATTCTAATACCAAAATATCGAAGGTACAATAGTTTTTGAATTATAAGCACTTAAAATTAGCGAATTATAGCGCCTAAAGTTCGCTCGTTCAGATACGATACAATGAAAAATCCTATCGCACTTAAGCGCACATTAGGCGGTATAATTCGCTAATTTTAAGTGCTTATAATTCAAAAACTATTGTACCCTCGATATTTTGATATTAGAATTTTCTCAAAATGATTATTTCCAATTTATTAAAAAATTTAGATTATCTGTGAAATTGTATTGTTCTTTGAAAAAACCAAAATTATTATTCATAAAATAAATTCATATTAAATTACCTTTGTGAATATTTTTATCACTTTGATGTCGATCGCTCTGGTCATCAATATTTCGTTCAAAACTTCGGGATTCTGATTCGGGATAATGTCCCCTCTCCTTACGATCATCATTTTCTTTCTTCTCTCCATCAGTTTTTTTATTCGATTGCCAATCACGTTCCTTTCGATTATTATAATCCACTGATTTGCGTGCATCGAAATTTATTGCATTGTTTTTATAGTTCCTTATTTTTTCAGCATATTTTCCCTTCGTACTTTCGTAATTGCTCATTTTTTCAGTGTATTCCTTCAGATTCTGCTCGTTTTCCACCCAATTCCTAAAATCTTTCTTCGGATAATGATGCTGCTGCAAATCGGGTTTTAAATTTCCGTGACCGTAATCAAAGCACTGGACTGACGATAGTTGCTGCTCCATAATCAAAGCACGAGACACGTGCCCGTAATCAATTATCTTTGTCGGAGTAAAGTGAATCGATTCAACAATTCTTTTATCACCTTCACCGTGATTATAATTAAACTTCTGCACGCAAAATTCTTCATCACTCCTCGGTCGTTTCATCAATAAATTAGAATATTTCGATTCAAAGTCAGATTCAGTCGTAGATTCACCATATTGAGACTTAAAATTACCCACCTTTGGTTCCATTATACTTTTTTCTAACTTCTCGTCAAATGTACTTGAAATGTTTTTATCAATGTTATATTGCTCTGCATCGGATCTGTGAACGTTACCAAACTTATCCTTCCAATTATCATTAAATCCATATCCTGAACAAGGTACAGTCTCTTTTTTATTAAAATCAGGTCCAATATATTCATTGGTGTTTTCTTTCTGCATTTCAATATTTTTATCAGGACAATTTCTATTAAATTCGTCAGTCGATTTTGGGCTTTCATACTTGGCCTTTTTAGCAAAAATATTATCTTCAAACTGTTCTTTTCTAATGCAAGAATTTCTACGCAAATTATCGTCGCGATTAAGCGAAGAATCGCTCGGAGGTGGAAAGTTTGCATTAGTTGAATCATTCATCGGGCCTTTGAAGTCCGATGATCCAAAGGGTCCACCATTAGAATCTCGAGATTCAAATCGGTTCTCATTAAAATTCTTCGAGTTACGTTGAAGCAAAGTATCATTTGAATCACAAGAACCAAGTAGAACAGATTCCTTAGAACCACGCGGACTAGTCAGATCTTCGTTGGATTTTTGAAAATCAACTTTTTCATTAGAAGAGCTAAAAGATCCACTATTATCGAAAGATCTCTTATCACATGGTGCCTCATTTGATTTACCAAACTTATTGGATCCCATAGAACCGAACTGTGAGTCGAAAGGACATCTAGTACTAAAAAATGTATTAAATGGACCTCTAGGACCAAATGATCCATCATTGGGCCCTCGCAATCCAAATGGTCTTTCGGACATTGTTCGAGAATCTAAACGATCATTAACTCCTCTAGGACCAAATTGCATATTGTTGCCTCTAGGTCCAAATGGACCAGGATTTCGCGGAGAAAACGGTAAATCAATTGGTCCCCTTGGTCCAATTGGACGATCGATGGATCCTCTCAGACCGAACTTTGTATTCATGAGCGGTCGAGGTCCAAATTGACCAAATGACTCATCTACAGGACCACGTGGATTGAATTTCTCATTATTTGAATGTTCAGATAATTCATCATTATAATCTTGATCATTACATTGCTCATCATTAGATCTTTTAGGACTGAAACGATTTTTACTTGATATATTAAGCCCAAATTGGCCATCTTTGGGTCCTCGTGGACCCAATTGTACATCCATAGAACCTTGTGATAAGAATGAACCTCGCGAAGAATCAGTTAAAAATGCACGAGGACCTCTAGGACTAAACATTGGCGGTCCTCGAGGTTCAAATGGTACACCAGATTTAAATTCCATCCTTTTGGAATCAAAGTTGTTATTATTATTAAAACGCATATCGAATTGGTTATCAGCTGGTCCCTTTCTATCAAAATCTTTGTTTAAATTCGGTGGCATATTTTGATTGGAGTCCGTAGAAATGGGACACAAATTAGGCAATTCCGGTGGTGGTTCAATGTTCAAATCTACTGGTGGTACGTCATTTTCACCCATGAAGGGCAAACTTTCAGGTTTCTTAATACCGTTATTAGATTCATTCGTACTTTCGGTGTTGCTTTGGATTTTATCATCATGTTTCTTGTCAACCTGTTGCAGAGAATTATCATCATTAATAACTTTATTTTCTTCTCCATTATTATCCTTTAAGTCATTAGAAGAAACAATGTTGCTTTGCTCAATAGAACTATTAATCTCATCCACTTGCATTGCTTCCGTATTTTTTACATCTGCAACATTATCAGTTTGCAGCGACGAATCAGCATCGATATCAATAATTTCGATATTTTCAGAGCGTTTAACAACATCTTGTGGCTGAATATTTGTTAGTTGGAATTGATTGGGATGCGGTCTGATTTCTATATTCTTTCCTCGTTCATTGTAATCCATAGGATTATGCTTAACAAAGTTATCCAGACGTCCTTTGAAAGGAGGAGGAGGTTCGCTGAAAAAGTGACCTCGTGACCCATATGATGAAGTAGAAATTTGACCCGAATCAGAAGATAATTGAAAACTTGATGATCCACTACTCGTTGCTTCACTACGATTTGGTGGATTTTTTTGAAAATCGAAGGAACTTTTAAAAGGCGAGTGACTGGTAATTTTTTTAAAGCTTTCACTAAGAGAACCAATACCAGTAAACTTGTCGGAGTCAACAAAACTGGGTCTGAACACATCCCCTGCTGCTCTTCGCTTTTCCATGAGTTTCTTCAATTCTGGCGATAATTCATTCGACGAACCAAATGATGAATTTCTAGTGAAACCACCCCGGTTAGTACCAAAACTGTCTCGTCTATTATCAGCTGAATCTTTTGAATCAAAATTACCTCTACCAAATCTATCGTTCGGTCGGAAAGACTCGTTATTAGACCCAAATCGATCATTACCAGAAAAGAAACGATCTTTAGAGTCAAAACGATTAGTTCCAGAAGCAAACTGTTCTCCACCTGATACAAACCGATCCGATCCAAATCGCTCATTATCTGGAAATCGATCATTTCCAGATCCGCGATCTTTATCCATTTCGATCCGATCATTTCCAGGTCTAAATCGATCACCCTCCGATTTAAACCATTCATTGCTAAATCGATCAGATCCTGAGCCAGGACGATCCTTGTTTGATCCGAATTGATCACCTCCCGATGTAAGCCTATCACTTCCCATCGATCCAAACCTATTATTTTCGCTGTTGAAATGATCATTCCCTGGCCCAAAACGATCTTTTGCCGGCCCAAACCGATCATTACTTAGATTAAAATTATTCTGTGAGTTTAATTGATTATTCCCAAAGTCATTATAATTTCTATCGCCTCTTCTAAAACGTTGTGCTTCGACTTTGTCAAAATTATCAGTAGAAGATCTAAATTCTTGTTCGTGCAAATTTGAATTAGTATTATCTCGTCCAAAACGTTCCTGATCACCTCTTTTGAAATTGGATTGTCCGTCAAAATTGTGAGATGCTCGATCATTTGGATGCATAAAACGCTTATCCATACTTGAAGAATCAGCTGAACCAAATGGAGGACAATCATTTATGTTTGTTAGACCTGGTGCTTTTACATTTTGTAATTGCATTCGATCATTATTAAGAAAATTTGGTGGAGGTTGCGAAAAATTTGGTGTAACGTTATTTGGCATATTCAGCTGTGATTGTGCAAAATTTGACGAGATCATTTGGGGTGGTCCAATATCCGGCGTTGAGAGCATTGGAGGCATTGTCGACATCCCGAGACCATACGCCGGTGCTTCCATTCTGGAATTATATTGTTGATTTCCCCATTGTTGATTGGACCAATTCGGTACAGTGGGTCCAATCATATTTAGTTGTGGTGGAATTTGCTGCATTCCTTGTGCAACAGGTTGATTACTAGAATTATTTGTGGTCTCCGGCATTGGTGGCGGTGGTGGCGGAGGCACTAAAGATGCAGAAATATTTTGCTTCCCTGTAAGACCCAAAGTTTTCCCAATGCCCAATAAATTGTTGATCAATCCTTGATTTTCAGTGTTCGATAAGATGTTTAGTATTTTATCGTCCCCAGGTATGTTTTTGTTCTTTTCGGCTTCTGCTTTCGCAGCAGCTTGTTTTTGTTGTTCGCGTTTTTTACGCATCTGTTCGCGTCGTTCGAGCAACTTCTCACGCCATGATGTCCATTTCGCTTCGTATTGTTTATACTGAGTCTGAAATACGAAGATACCATTTTGAACTCTATAGAAAATGCAATTTCAATTATTTATGTTAAGTTATGCAATAATAAATAAAAATTGTTGATATTAATTTATCTCTTTCAAAAACTTTATTACTTTAATAATCTTGATATCATAAAAATGAGAATATCGATTAATTTCATTTTAACTAATAATTATATTTCAAAAATGTTTTTCAAAATATAATTGAGAGCATCGTAATATAAAAAACATGATTTTTCAATATAATTATATATCTGCAGAATTATTTGCAGAATTATTTATGTTCATATTTTGACTTTTGCAAACCAAAATAAACTTTATTAAAAATGTATCTTCTAATATGAATAATTACTTTTCAATAATATCCATTTAATTATTTCTTAATAATTATATGCATATTAAAAATAGTACTTACCTTGTCTGGATGATTGGCATTTTGCTGCTTCCAAGTATTAAATTGTTCTTCCCACTGTTTGAACTGTGCATCAAATGTTCTTTCAGCTTCGGTCAATTCCTCTTCAGAGATCAATTTTTTAGCACTTTTGGAATCACTAATTATATTACTATTAGATTTTTCAGCTGTGATATTTTCGCTATTCTCGATTTCAGGTGGTAAGGGTGGTTGGCTTGTTGTAGGTAACGGTGGATTTGAAGGATAACTTGTTACATTTGCTTGTGACATCATCTTATTGGGAGATTCTTTTGCAGGAAATAATGGAAGATTGTTTTGGTGTGGAGGTGGCATGTTCGTAAATTGATATGTATTTGTGGGAGGCAAAGGAGGTCGGGTATCCTCTTTGGGAAGAGGCGGTGGTGGTACTTGCATCTGACTCGTTAAGTTCATATTCTGCACGTGCTTCATCTCCTCATACTGAAAAGAATTTCTTATTAATAAAAATTAACAAATAAAAATTTTTAGGCCCTGTTCCACAACTCATGATTAACTTTTAACCGAGGTTCAACTTATCCCTCATCGCTTTTCAATTCTAGAATTGCAAAGAAATGAGGAATAAGTTGAACCTCGGTTAAGAGTGAGTTGTGGAACTGGGCCTTAATGTTTCTACAGATATCAAACATTTTCTGTATACATAAATTTTTAAAACTTTTATAATATTATCTAATAAATCATTTAAGAAAAAAAAAACAGATATAGAATAATTGAAGAATAATTACATATTTCTTTTGAATTCTTTTATAATTTTAAACAAACGTTTTGTTCCAAGGAAAAGTTTATTATAAAATGTTTCCATCGAAATACATTGTTTTCATTTGTACTATATATATTTATATCATATTATTTTTTGTATATTATATAATATTTATTT